CACACACACACACACAGACTGTTCCTCTTACAGTATATACCCCCATAACAGCAACACAACCCCATTCAGTGTGTTGGTTTACATGCATTTTGCAGGCTGCTTGAATACTTTTACATGGTATACCTGTGCAGCTCCTGTGATCATGTTGGGGATGAAGTCTTTGTGTCCTGGCGCATCCATTAGGGTCACCACCTTAGAGTTTGTCTCAAACTTGGTCATGCCTACATCCATTGTCACACCCCTGGAGCAAACACAAATAAATGAGGATTTTTTTTTTTTTTTTTTTTACCACTTGAGCATTCAAATTGCGTAAAATTGTGTCAAGCGTTGTAATTGAAACAATCCTGTGGTCAGTGTTAGTTAGCTGGACTGCCATATAAGGGAATGTAGAACCCTCGGTCAATTTCAGTTCAACAGCAACGTCTTCTAGTGGGCGAGGCTCTCAGTCTACTTTAAGTATTACGCATTTACTTCAGAAGTTACTGATAAGTGAATATGGATTCCCACCCAAGTCACTTTCTGTTTCTGGCATATTTCGCTTCCGTTTCACTCTGGTAACAACAATAGAGAGAGGCCGAACAGTGACATATATTCCACGATGACATTTTTTACGTGTTAAAAAGGTAGATATCTCTAGCGCTTACAATCAGTGGGAATGCAATTTATCAGCAAAACTATTGTAGGAAGGATTTGGTCCCTCTAATGGACATTTTTTCCCCCCAGATCACATCCAGGATATTATTATGTGGATTTATCACTGGTAACAGTAACACCAGTAAGTGGAAAAAATGTGTGACTCTCAAGATATGTTTATCAACCAAAGCACAGAGCAGGAAGAGACTGCAGTTTGGTAAGCATCTGCACTACGCAAGAGTCCTTGTCAACGTGTGACCAAACATGACCTTTGGCCACAATTGTTAGGGGCAGAACAGATTATTTCCTGTCCATGAATATTTATCTGTTTCTGTGCAGCTTCATGCTCAAAAATGTACCTGTCCCTCTCCTCGCCAGTTTCATCCAGGACCCAGGCGTAGGCGAAGGAAGCTTTTCCGGCCTTCTTTGACTCCTGCTCGTACTTGTGCATGGTGCGCTTGTTGACGTTTCCCAGCAGATAAAGCAGATGCCCCATCAGTGTGCTTTTACCTGCATCCACATGGCCTGCAGAAAAGAATAATGTAATAAACGCCAAGGAGTTAAGGCTGTAGAAGGACAGAAACAAAAAGAGAAAATGGACTAAGAGGGTGGGGGATTGATAAAAAAACACCAGGGAGGGGTGAAGACAGACAGAAAAAGAGGAAGAATGTAACAAGAGTGATAAGACAGGTAGTGGGAGAGAGAAGATAAGACACATGGGAGCCACAGATGGCAGAAGGAAAGAAGCCTAATTGCACAAGAGGAGGAAGGTAGACAGAAATGGGAACAAGAATGGAGGGTGAAAGGGGGAATGGAAAGGACCGTGGTAAAACGAAAGGTTTCACAGTCTGTGGGAAACTAGAATCATCTGCACTTCTGAAACTACCAAGTCACTTTTTCTGCTGTAACTGAGAATGAGAGAATATGATTGAGCAATTGCACTGGTTCTGCAGTTAAACTCATTCACTACTATTATACTTCTGCAAATGTGCACAAAACACACAAGAATCAAAAGTGACAGTGCCAGACACTACAGAAAAATCGGAGCTGAGTGGCAGAATGTGTTTGAAGAACAGAAGAAGAAGATATACGGTGCACATTAACAAATTAAAGCATGTGGTGGAAAAACTGGAACGGCTTCTTTTTTTTTTTTTATTAAACGACAGCTATGTAGCAATGTGTGGATCAATTGCATGCAAAGGCTTAGAAAAGGGAAAGACTTGTGTTTTAATGCATCAAACAATGTCATAAAAATGTTCTAATGTTACAGTACTACTGTATATTGCTTAACAAATCAAGCAGTACTTCCTCTTTGTGTTTAAAGGCACTATGTAGAACTTTAAGAATGTCCTTGCTATTAATGAAACCGGTGGTCATTAAGTGAACTGCTGTCAGCATGCTGTTCATAGATGTAGTGCCGCCGAGCGCACAGCAACAACGCTCTGTGAGGAAGAAGAGTATTTGCAGTTTTTAAGCACATGAAGATCCTTTCACCACTTTTTAACATTTTCTCCAGAGAGCTAACGTTAACCTTTAGTATTTTGCTACCTTATCAAGCTAGCAATTCGTCCGCATTAGCAAGCAAGATAACGTTAGCTAATGTGACCTCCTTTGGATTTTCCTGGAAAAACCATCCCAAGTTTTTACACAGAAATCAGTGCACGGGCTGTCACAGGCAAAAAGATCTCACATACTTTTTGTTTTTTTCTTTTTACACATTGGCAATACAAAGTGATTAACACATGCAAATTGCTTCATAATGGTTTTCAATCTTGTTTGTGCAGAATCGACTCTTGTGTCCCTTATAATTGTGATGATGCCTTAATGTGCTATAAGCTGTCACAAGTGGTTTTTGTGGTGGTTTATGAGTGGTTGTGTGGATTTCCTTCCTACCTATAACCACTAAATTCAACAGAGGTTTGCCGCCCTGCCTCTTCTCCAGCTCAGCCTTGATATTGATCGTCTGCCGGGCCTTTCCAGAGGAGCGGCCTGGAGTGGGAACAGTGGAGGGCTCATCTCCATTTGACCCTTTGGATGGAGTCTCAGGGCGTTTGGATGTGGTGTCTGAGGCCGGGGTGGCGTTTTCAGGGCTGCCACCCCGGCGTAGTGAAGCAGTCACCACACCGTTCTCCCCTGTGCTGAGGAGAGAATGCAGATGCATTTAATCACAATGAACCACAACTCTTCTTTGCAGCACCAGCAGTTATGCTCGAGTACAGCTTACGAAACACTAATCAACAGCTCATACAAAATATGGTCCTAACTACTGTTTTATGAGTGTGTGTGCAGATGTGTGTTAGATACCTGGGAACATCAAAGCCCATGGTCTGCTTCTTGCCAGAGACGGTCATGCGGGCCACTTTGGGAACCACTTCAGAGTCCAGTTTATTGTGAGACACATCTCTGCTTTTAGCTAAAGGGAACAGAGGAACAAAACTGTATGCTTTCTGACAAACAAAGGCAATCGTGAGTCACTGTGGTCGACATGTATGACACGAACAAGTTTAATTTTTTCCTATTTAAAAAGGGCACAGGAATGACCTTCAATATATGATAAATGGCTTATATGTACTGCTAAACACTTGCAGCTATCTCTCATAACGAGAATACGGCTGAAAGGTTTCTCCCACTAGATTTTTCAGATAATTTCTCTAGCTTTGGGAACACAGTTGATCAACGGTGATTATGCATCCACACATCAGAATAATTCAAGTCTTGTGGGTTTTTTTTTATTATTTATAAAAATGTCCTTTAACACATTTGTTGAAACACTTCTGCATCTGCAAAATAGTAACATTAAATACATGGCAACATTAGTCAACACCAAGATAGCTTATTCAGCAATGTATGCCAGTGTGGTGTTAAGACATCCAGTGTAGTTTATGACTACTTTCCCGGTTTTAGTTGTATGCATTACTGGCATATATCACAATGTATGTACGTGTGAGCATATGATGCAATCAGTCGAGCCTCCATCTATCTGACTTGGTAGTCCATATTCTGCAGCAGTGAGACTTGTTGAGGTCATTGCTTTGTCATCCCAGTCCCAAATGGCCACCGGTCCCAGTCATATCAAGCCACTACTGATTCATTTAGACTGGGCTGCACAGCCAAGCCAACAGCACACCGTGTGCATCTGCGTGCATGTGTGTGGCAGTGACATCCTGGTTCAGAGAGGGTTAATTTCAGAAGTGGCCGTTGTCTCCTCTCTCCACGTAAATAGAGCAGTGTGACACAGCATTTCACAGAATGAATCTCAAAAGGTGTCACCCTCAGCAAATTGTGGGGCTGGGGG